CTTGCCGACTTCAACCTAAAGCACTTGCCGACTTCAAGATAAAGCACTTGCCGACTTCAAGCTAAAGCACTTGCCGACTTCAAGCTAAAGCACTTGCCGACTTCAAGCTAAAGCACTTGCCGACTTCAAGCTAAAGCACTTGCCGACTTCAAGCTAAAGCACTTGCCGGCACAACAGTCCTCTCACCTTCGGGAGCATCCTGCGCCGCAGCAGAGTCCGCTTCGGCCGGAGCGGACGCAAACGCTTCGAACTCCGCGTCGTCACTGACGAATGGCCGCGCCGCGTCCGCCGCCTCCTCCAGTGTGCGCAGCGCCGCGTACTTGTCCTGCTCCGTCACGTGACTGCAAGCAAGTGCCACTGGGTTAACGCATGACCGCCATGTTCTAGCTGCACCCCAAGTCTTAACCAGTTACAATGACTATGAATAATATATTTCTACGGCAGACAGGGCAAAGAATCTGCTAACAACGAACCATCTTTGAAGATCTCTTAACCAGTTACAACATTGGATTACCAACGTTATATTTCTGCGGCAGACATCGCAAGGAATCTGTTAAAAAACGAATCATCTCGGTCTGCAGGTCCGAAATTTTAATTCCAATGATAATTTGACAGTAATGAATACGATTCTATCAGCATTGGAAATAACAAATAATAAAAATAATCGAAATCACAACACGGCATTAAACAACGCAGCCCCCTCCACCCCCGTAATTTTGATGGATTTTACTATAGGTTACATAGAAGAAATCGAAATTTCCCAAGAATCAGGACCATCTGGGTTTTCAGACTCGTTTCCAAGACCGATCACAGTGCAAAAAGAGGAGGAAGATTGTGATGAAGATTGAAAGATTGGTGAAGAATTAGACTCGGCAAAGACTGCACCGCTGCCGTACCTTGCGGGGGTCGTCTTCGCCGGCGACGCCGTCTGGAAGTCGGCAAAGTCGTCCTCGTCGACCTGCCTCATCGCCGCGTGCAGCGGCCTCGACGGCTTGTTGTAATTGGACAGCCGGGCGCCGACCTCGTCGCCGTAGCAACCGGACGTCATGAACGACAGCGTGCTGCCTCCGTCGACCTCGCCGTCGGAGATGTAGATGGGGTTCTCCTCGACGAGCGCAAGCTCCCTCTCTGGCTTCTTCTCCGGCGACCTCGACACGTAGGACGCAAAGTCGTCGTCGTCGTCGGCAACGGCGACGGCGAGGTCGCGCTGGGTCGCCAATCCCCGCGCGGGGGCCGCGGCCGCCATGACACCTGCGCTCCGTCGTCCCGTTGTAGCCGGCATGCAGCTGATGTCTGACGGCTGCCCGGCGAACGCTGCTCCACGCTGCTGCTGCTGCTGATGATGACGATTATGCTGCTGCTGCGGCTGTTGCTGCTGCTGCTGCTGATGCTGCCGCTGCTGCTGCTGCTGCTGGCTGCCGTTGAGCGTGTGTAGCTGGATTGCTCCCGGCGTGACGGGCTCGCCGCCGTGCTGCTGGTGCTTCGAAGGGACGGCAAAGTCCGGATGCTGGAGCACGGGGACGGGGATGCTGCCGAGGCCGTGGATCGCCTTCAACGTCGGCACCTCGTTGCCGTGCTGCGGGGAATTTTTAATTTTTAATCATAATATTTTATAAATCAATAAATATTACACGTGCGTGCGTGCGTGCATGCGTGTACACGTACACATGCGTGCGTGCGTGTGCAGCAATCCGACAAGCGCGCGACGTGAGAAACGCTGACGGCCGACCCCCATCCTCATGCGACGCGCGGGATTCAATCGTACGCACACAGAAATCGCGGGCCCTTCGCAAAGGCGTTCCCAAATATGACGATAACATCATTTTTATACGACAACGGCGCCTTTCACTCCCAAATACGACTTCATTTTTTCGTGCTACAGCTGCACTTTTTAGCCGAACTAGTACGGTTGGTGGTTACGTAGATGCATACCTGTGCTCGTGCGATCAGGGCCAGAATGGCATACAGCTCGGGAACATTGAGCTGTCCGGGGGTGGCGAGATTGGCGAGGCTCCAGATGTGGCCGAGTAGCTCGCGCGGTAGACCGCTCGACACGAGGATCGGGAAAACAATGCTGGTGTCTATGTGATCGGTCTCCGTCGCTAAATCTGCCACCTACGGAGTGAAACAGTAAACGAATTGCTGAACGGACCTGCCTGTGTTCACTCCTGTCGGAGTTCTTGTGTGGGTGGAGACGTACCACATAAAAAATTGAAGTCGGTACAAAGCAATGGTGTGCATCGTTGCTTCGTTTGAAGTGCAGGAACGCTAAAACAAGTGCCGCAGTGCGACAGGGCTCATCTGGTGTCTGGTGTTCAGCTGATAAATTCATTTGTGCATAGCAAGACGTCTTATGTACATAAGTCTTCTTTATTCTTGTTTGACTTTCGTAGCCAATTCGAACAAATATATCAGCTACACTTTCGCACCCACCTAATCTCTATGGGCTACCTAATGTATTCTAATAACAAGAACAATAATAACAATTCAAATA